AGACGTGTATAACAATAACAACACCAACAGGTATTTTTTTTTTCCTTTTGCTAGTGGCCTAAGCAGGCAGTAAAACGTCGCGACAGACACATGAATTTGGATTAGTTTACGGCAAGGGGTTGCATGAATGCAGCCAGAGAAACGAGGCAATATCACATCACTCTTACGAAGAAAGACAGACAGACAGACAGACCGACAGACCGACAGACATGCAGTCAGTTAGTCAGGTTATGGCGGTTCGGCCTCCAATGGAAACGTATGTCTAACATCCAAGGGAGGCGGCGGCTGGTGAAGGAGACACATCGAGTTGACATTGTCTCATGGATGCAGCCAGCCAGTCAGCCAGCGGCGGTAGTTTGAATAGACGACAAGGAAGGCTTGTTTTGGTTTACTTTTGGCCAAAAACTTGTTGCCACCGCTGCTGCGCTGGAAAATGCAAATACTGCCAGCAGCGGGCAGCAGTAGTACAAATCTTTGTCGGGTAGTATTTATCGTTCGTCTATGATTGGTGGTGGGGTATTTTTTAAGAGAAAGAAATGCTCACACCAGTATAGACATCATTATGAATTAAAGCATCAGCTATATAAACACGCTGCTGATGAAGAGGTAGCAGCATCAAAGAGTTCATGTAAACATGGTGATCATGTGAAGATGAGATGATCATTACCACGCCAATGGCATTACAGTGCAAAGCAAAGCAACGCAACGCAATGTCATTGACAATGGTAATTTGTGAGCTATACTCGGTTAGTTGTACGTGAGCTGATGATGATGTCTGTCCACATCTCTTGGAATTCCGCCACACGGATCCATTCACATTCACGCTGTGCCACCAGAAAAGTGCCAGAGAAAAGATGAGAGAAAATGAATACAAGCTGGCAATGAGAAACCCCAATAAACACTACCGGCATTCGGATGGGTAGACAAAGTTTCTCATTATGATGATCATAGTCGCCATCATCATCATTATTGTTATGACGACAGTGATCGTAATGATTACTACAGTTCTTGCCCCCATAATTTGGGGTGAGGTGGATTTTGTTAAGAAAACAACCCTCTGAACTGAGAAAATGTTTAATATTTAATAATTTTCATGGTTTAAAATAGGTGCAGCCATATTATTGTCAATAATATATGGATGTATTGTATTGGTTTACTATTTAGTATAGTGAAGACCCCAATATATGTTACCCCACAATTTAAGTATCAAATTTCCTCTTCCTGAAACAAATAACAAATTCATATAAACCCCATATAACTGCACCTCCCGAATATTTTACTACAACATTATTAAAAACAAGTAAGCAAAGGCTACAGTCGAGCGGGGCCGACCGTTGAATACCCTACAACACTATAATAAACGATACAGTTTATATAGGCGAGATACTCGAAAGAATTCCACAAGATATTGTGACAAATAATAAAAGAAAACCATCAGGTTTCGTTATCTAATTTTCGAATAATAGCAACTTAAACTAATTTGCTCATTTCCAATTTATTGGTAGATGTTGCACTTAAATGGTCTTCCTAGATCTGGACCTATAATCTCTCAGAAGTGGCAAAAGATTAACATTTATTATTGGTTTTTGACTGAAACGCATCTATATGAGATACAGACATTTGACTATATTCTTCAACGAAATCAGCGTTAACGAAATAGTCAGAAGTGCGTCTTTCCTGTATTTGTGAATTCTCCAAAAAGTCACTGGAATGGACATTTTCGTATTTTGTCTATAAAAGTTGGTAATCTCCTTCACACATTGAATATTTTTGGATGGCCATCCAAAACTGCTTGGCTTTTGCAATGTCCGGTTACCCCCATAATTACGACCTGCTGACAATTTGCAGTTTTTTGGTCCATTTCAACCCCTAAATATATGGTGATCATCTCCAAAAAGAATAGGCTTTTATTCTGACACTCATCTTATCTCCATGCAAAATTTCGTAAGGATTGGGCCATAAATGCGATCTGTATATGATATCCTGATATCCTAACTACTTAGTTTTGTTAGCTGTAGAAATATTACCAAATGTTTAATTCAAAATGAAAATATGCCAAAAATATGACAAAATTGAAAAAATATGAGAAAATTTTACAAAATCAATATTTTCATCTTTAGAGAGATATTTTTATGCGAGTTTTTAGACGTTTTTTCTTTCCTGCCAAGAGGCCATTCTGAATTAATGAGAACTGTCGAAATCAGTTCAGCAGTTCTCGACATATAAGATATTTTTCAAGCATATCTTCTTTGATAGACATATATATCGCACATATTTTGCTATATATCCGTTTTGTTGGATGTTAACATCAATGTAAAGATCAGAAGTAACCTTCTCATGGCTCTGTGTTTTCGCCGGGATTTAAAATATTCGCGGTTTAATGAAGAATTTTGAATTTTTTCAACAAAAAATATATGGTCTATTTTACCCGCTAAATATTATCCGATGACCACCCAAATAGGTAGGCTTCTTGCCAGCCCTAAACTCTAGCTACATGGGAAATTCCGCGTCGATTGGTCTATAATTGCGACCTGTAGAGCAAGTGCAAAATCAGGAATTTTTTCAGTTTTTGGTCCATTTCAACCCCTAAATATTATGCGATCATCACCAAAAGAAATAGGGTTCTATTCTAACCCTAGCCCCACCTCCATTTTAAATTTCGTGAAGATCGGACCATAATTGCGACCTGTAGCGTGATTACAAATTAACATGGACAGACGGACGGACGGACATACATAGCTAGATCGACTCAGCTCGGCGAGATAGGAAGATCCATATATACTTTCCTATGTGGGAAATCAATATTTCGTGGTGTTACATAATTTTTGGCCCAATCAAACTTATAATACCCCCAACACATAGTGTTGTAGGGTATAATAAATTTTAGTCGAATTTATCATTTCAGATTTTCAATGTTATATATATTACTCAAGATGTTCCCTTTTGGGAAAGAATAATTTCAGTTTGATGTTAATCGAGGAGGACATTAGTAGAACCATTGCAGAATGAACCCACATGAAATTTTTCTGCATAAAACTATTTCAACGCCTCCATATGTAAACCGTAGAAACCAACAGTGACCTCAGTATCAAATTTCAGAATTTTAGGTCTATCCCTTCACTCAATGCCGAATTTAGTAACATTTAGTAGGGATATCCAAAACAATCTTCATCTCTTCATCTTAGAAAAAAAACAATGATCCAAAACTAGTACACCAACAGTGACATCTATGTCAAATTTCAGGATTTCGGTTCTTTAATTCCCCGAATCACCAACTTTAGTACAATTATAGTATATCATATCCAAAACAAGCTCCTTCTCCCATCCACAGACACCAACAGTGACATCGATATCATATTTTAGAATTTCATCTCTATGCCTTCGAGCAGGACCACATTAAGTACTATTTAGTTCTTTTCGTACCATATTCATATCTCAATCCCAGATAACAACAGAGATTTCTATATTACATTTCGGGATTCCAGTTTTATCCCTTCACCCAATACCCAATTTAGTATTTTTCGTACAATTATAGTACATATTTAAGAAAAAATAATCAGCTCCATATTTAATTCCCGATTCCAATAGATTCGCTGTATACGAATTTTCAAAACAATCTCTATATCTCAACCATATATACCAACAGTGATCTCCATATCTAATTTCAGGATCGCAGCTCTGTAATTTCTCACATTACCAAATTTATTACAATTATAGTACACATTTCAAAAACCACCTCCGAGACCTCAATATCAAATTTCAGAATTCCACCCCTGTTGCTTCACCCATTACCAAATTTAGTACCAGTACCGTAAAATATCAAACACAGATACCATCAGTAATCTTAATAGCAAATTTCAGAATTTGGTCTCCATACCTTTAACTAAGACCAAATTTGGCACCATTTAGTACTTTTCGTACATTTATAATACTCACTTTCCTAACCACTAGGATACATTTGACCAAAAACCTTAAAACCAAATTTCATATTTCAATACCAAATATTGTGCCTTTAGTAATTTACGTGCACTTGTAGTACACATTTGCAAAACCAGCGCTTAATAACCATAAACAGGATCCTAATACACAATTTCAAAATTCCATCTTTATCCGCTCATCCTGAACCAAACTGTTCCAAATTTAGTACCATTTACTACAGTTTGCACACTAAGTACACATTTCCAAAACAACCTTCATTTATCAAACTTACTGTCCAACCTTGATTCTCATACCAACTTTCAAGGTTTTATCTCTGTCCGTTCAAATAATGCCAAGTACTACCATTTTAGAAGTAAGATTTAAGGTTAAATTTCCAGGAGCCCTTTGGTACATATTTTCTCCACTCCATCAGTGGCTCTGATATAAATTTTTTTGTACATTTTAGTAGTTTTCGTATCATTTTAGAACGAATTTTCAAAAATCTAGCCTGTTTATACACCTACGCACCAGCCTTATCATACACCTCGTCCATAATTTCAACATGCTGCTGAAAGTGGCCCTTGTGTTTAGCAAGTAGAATCTCTATTGAAATGATTATGAGTCTATTTCAATTTCCTGTTTTAATTTGTTCTTCGAAAAATGAGCATGGCGTTTTTCTCTTGAAGTTTTCTTAGTGATTTAATTAGACGATCAGGATATATTTACCTATGTCTTGATTTTTAATCCCTTCAACAGTTACTTTCAAACTGTTGTGTCCAATTATATTACAATCAAAATTTTATTGTCCTCACTACTGGCTGGCTGCTACATACCGAAGTTGCATTAAGAGAAGGCCTATAATTTTCCAGCAGTATGCGTGTCTCCAGTGATGGGGTAAGCAAAAAGTAAACCGCACCGTGTGATGGCCATTGATGATGGCATTGGCATTACTAACCGAGCAACCAACTGAACTAAAGGATGGACATAATCTAGTTGATCATTTAATGCACATCTTCATCATCATCATCGTCGTCGTCGTCGTTGTCGTGGTCCCGCAGAGCAAACAACATCAACGTCGTCATCATCATCGTGGTTATGCTTTGGAGGCATCGTAACGGCAGCAGCAGCAGATGTAGCACCAACCAACCACCCAACCGCTAAAACAGAAACGCTTAACAAGAAGACGCAGCTTTGCAGTTCGTTCGTGTGCTTTTTTCCATTTCATTCGTTCGTTTCGTTTTTTGGCTCAGTGGAGAAAGAAGAAATTTTCTGTTATGTGTGTGTGTGTTTTTTTATCGCTTGCCTGCATGCGAAGTAATTCGCGTTGAGAAAGCAGGTGTATTGAACATTCTGCGGTTACCCATGGCACGAAATAGACGCGCGCGCGCATTCACACACGACGTTATTTCAAGCAAAACGAATCAATTGAATTGAAACTAGAAACGAAAAAATAATTACAAAAAAACCCAAACTCCAAGGAAAAAATAACAGTTGTGGAAATTTCAAAATTTTTTGAAATTTAATTTGAATTTTTTGAAAAAAAAAAAAAACCGAAAAAAGTGTTGGAAATGTCAAAATACAGAAAATAATGAATTTGAAGTAAATGGATTAAAAAAGGCACCACAACAAAAACCTTTAAAGGATATTAAAAGGATATATGGCAAAAACAAATCAAAAGAGTGTCCCAAATTGTATCAAAAAAGTGTGAACCTACAAAACCTCCAGTGCAACTCGGCAAAAGGACTTTTTATCCTTAAAAAAAATAAATTAAAGTGTATTAAACTTGCAATGTAAAAGAGTTTCATTCTTTAAAAAAAATTTAAAATATTCCAATTTCATTATCTCTCTCAAAACGCCCATGCGTGTGTGCCTGTAACAAACAATCACCCTGACGAATTTATTATAACACCCATTGCCACTTTTGTTGTTGTTGCTGCTGCTGTGCTCTAGGCTGAGCCTACAGATTTGTTTTCTGCCACCTAATCTCAAAGCGAAGCGATAAGAAAATCAAAACTACAACATTTCAATTGAATTTGGATTGAACCCCCCATTGCTTTGGTGGCTTCGAAAAAACGCAGGTGGGTGTTTCGTTTATGACTTTATTTTGATTTCCTTTTTTTTTTTTGTAGGCCTTCTTTGGCATCAGCTAGGCTTTTCTTTCGCTAATAAATAGCTTACTTTCATTTTTATAACTCTCAATTTTTTATGTTTTAAATGAATGAATGGTTGGATTGCAATTTTTGGCGGTTTCCCCCAAAAAAAAAAGTTTCCATTTAATTGTGTTTTATTGGATTTTAAAATTCAGTTATCTTTTGATTTTTTTTTGTCTAGTGGTTAGCCGTTTTCATATTTCGTTTGGTAGTTAGGCTATTTTCCAGTTGCTTCGACATTGCCCATTTAATTGATATGGTTTTATGGTCTAGTGATTTTATGGGTTATGAAAAGAAAATCGTAACAAAACAAACTGGGAAGTCTAATCAAATATAGGGTCGGCGATACAGTACTATGTGTTATTTAAATGTTGGTGGATAAATTTTGGAACATATGGGGTACGGGTGGGACGACCAAGGCTGTGGAATAGAGTCAGTTTCCGATTTTGGTGGCATATTTTAAACAACTCTGACTGGACTGGTTTTGAGTCCTGATACGAAATTCCGAATTATTTTATGAAAAAATTACGGCCTCTGTATAAGGTGTGAAAGGAAAACACGGCCTCTGAATAATGTGTGAACGAAAAACACTATTCTGAAAAACTTAAGATCTATTTAAATTTGATGATGTAAAAAACGCATAGAATTGGAGGTGGTTCTTTCGACATATATTAACATGCTTTAATATGTGATATATATTGATATAATATACTTGAGGGTAAATGATTTTGCCATTCTATTTGTATATCATCCTTTTTATACAAAGCCAGATTGCTTTATAATCAAAACCAAGCAAGATTTTAGTATAGAAAAGCAAAATTCTATATACGAAGACCCGCTGGTTTTCATTATTTGGCTGCTGTTTAAAACGGTTAGTATTTTCTTAGGTTGGATAAACAATATATCTTCATCAAATTGCTCAGACCTTTGTAAAGTAGTTTAGGAACTCTTCTTAAGGAAATTAAGAGATCAGAAAGTCATTCTATGAAATATAGCTATCGATAGGCGAGAAGATGTTTTTTCCTAAGGAAGAGAATTTCTTATATTGAAAACAATTAAAAAAGCTGTATGTTCGGCCGATCTGAACTTTGAATACCCTCCACCATTTGAACGAATTTGGCAATTTTCAAAAAAAAATGAAGTCCGTTAAAAATTCTTTTGAAATCTTAAAAACACCGAATGTAGCCGTTAAATTAGGGCCTATACGACGACGTGGACTTGGAAAGGCAACTTTTGTCATAAGTCATTATGCAAAACTTAAGAAGAAAAATCAGTGAATAATGTAGCTAAAATCATCAAAATACCGAATATAGGGAGGTGCCGTTATATGAGGGCTACACAAAGACGTGGAACTGCACAGACAATTTTCTGTCTTAGGCTGTAGTGTCCATTACGAACTTCAAATACCAAATTTGAAACAATTCCGCTGAATAATGTCGCTAAAATCATCAAACTACCAAATATCGGGAGGTACCGTTAAATGAGGGTTATACGAAGACATGGATCTGCACAGACAAATTTCTGTCCACTACGAACTTCAAATACCAAATTTGAAACAATTCCGGTGAATAATGTCGCTAAAATCATCAAAATACCGAATATCGAGATATGTCGTTATATGGGGTCTATACGAAGGCGTGGACCTGCACAGACATATGCATTACGAACTTCAAATACCAAATTTGAAACATTTCCGGTGAAATTGTCGCTTAAATCACCAAAATACCGAAAGTAGGGAGGTACCATTATATGGGGGCTATTACCAAAACGTGGACCTACAAGGTCCATTTTCAACACCAAAAGTCCTGCAGACATAATATGCATTTGAGTAAAACGTTATCTACCTACTTTATTTCGTTCCGAAGCTAGCGTGATTTCCACAGACGAACAACTCTAAATCGTCATAGAATTTTATGCTGATCGAGAATATGTATACTTTGCGGCGTCGAAAATTTATATTTCGAGGTGTTACAAACGGAATGACAAACTTAATATAGTAACACCTCCATACTATGGTGAAGGGTATAAAAACAATACATCCCGGTATTCCTTCAGGGATGTTCAGGGAGTTTTTATAAAAAGACCAGGAGGCATTATTCTATGAAGGCCAAGAATTGCTATCAGTGAATGAGCAGACGGTTTTCTTATTGAATACCATTATAATGTACTAACAAGTGCCAGCTGCTTCATCAGCGAAGAGACCACCTTAAAATTTTGAAAAAAAAAATTGATTCATTCCAACCTTTTGTGTTAGGCTTTTTTAGTACTTTGGAAATTTGTTACTACTCAAAATTTGTTCTCTTTGACACAATTTTTTAATCAAAACTTCATACATTGTACTAAATTTTCAGACTTTCAAGATTTTATATATTATTCAAGGTTTTTCTTATTCGGAAAGGATATTAGGAAAGTGTTTACATCTTACACCAAAAAGTTTTTAAAATCTTTCATTTCCATTTAATGGAGCCTTAGCCAATTTTTCTGTCCAAAACTATTTCAACGCCCCATTTGTTAACACCAGCAGCTGCGAAACCACCACTTAATCTCAACAAAAGAAACCAACAGAGACATCAATATAAAATTTCGGGATTGAAGTTCCATACATTCACTCAATACCAAAATTCGTTGTATTTGCAAATCCGTTCCACATCTCAATCCTTGACACCAACAGTTATCGCAATATAAAATTTCATGGTTTCAGTCCTATCCCTGCATCCAATATCAAAATTAGTACCATTTAATACCTTTAGTATAAATAGTCAAATCTCAAACGCAGATACCATCAGTCATCTAAATATCAAATTTTAGAATTCTATCTCTTCCCTCAATATCATATACAGTACCGATCAGTACTTTTCATACAATTTATAAAAAACACCTATATATCCAGGCTATACCCGAACAGCGACCCTTATACCAAATTTCAGATTTGAAGCATTATCTGTTCATCTAATACCAAATTGTACCCAATTTAGTACTTTCCGTGCATTTCTATTTTACATTTCCAAAACTACCTCCATATATAGAGGTTACACGTGTTCTATCGCTATCTGTTCACCCAAACCCAATCGTACAAATATAGTACAAAGTAGTACATTTCGTTCAATTGTAGTACATTTCAAAAACAACCTCTTTATCCCAGACCTATCATCCAGTTATCTAAATATCATATTACAGAATTTTATCTCTATCTTCCATTCCATTCAGTACTTTTCGTACAATTATAGTACACATTTCCAAAGCCACCTCCATATGTACAGGTTACACTTGAACAGCGACCCTAAATATAAAATTTCACCCAATACAAAATTTTACCAAATATAGAATTATTATAATTTTTAGTGCACTCGTAATACATATTTCCAAACCCATCTCTTTATCACAAACCACCTACCAACAGTGACCCCAAAACAAAATGTTAAAAATCCAGCTTCATCCGTTCTCCCTAAACCAAACTGTTCCAAATTTCAGTACCATTAAGCACAGCTGCTCACTTAAAACACATTTTCAAAACCATCTACATATAAACTTGATATAAATGATTAATAACTTAAATAGTTTTTAACAAGTAACAAGTAAAAAAGCAGTAAGTTCGGCCGGGCCGAATTTTGACTGCCCTTCACCATTTGAAACGAATCTGAAAAATTTCAAAAAAATAACATTCGCCAAAAATTCTGTTAAAATCTTAAAAATACCGACTATAGCCGTTATATTGGGGTGTACCGTTGTATGTGGGCTATACCATGGTACAATGCAGAGAAGGTCGGTCAACATTGAAAAAATTGCAAGTATAAAGGTCTATCTGTTTGGCTTGTAATGTCAGAATTAATATCAAAACAATAAAAAAAAATCAAGCAACTTGTTGCATTTATTTTGAATAAATAATTGAAAACCGTGAAAACTGAATGAAAGGTCAACACTTCTTTTCAAAACCAGGATTATTATACTAAAGGATTATTTCGCTACAAAAACTCTAGATTTTGTCGATGCATACGATGAAATAAACATTTTGAAAACATCCGAATTTGAATGTTTTCTGAACAATTTTTTTTTTGAAAAGAAAACACATACATAAACAAATAAAGATGACATATTAAGTCAAGAAAATAAAAAAATTGAAATCATATGGTATCATAGCCCTACCTTGATATCATTGTACCATGGGCTATACGATATATTGAACCTACATATGTAGATATTTCCTTTCCAGGGAGTAAAGTGCTTGGAAAGAACTTCTAGTATGGATTTTTAGACAATGTTGCTGCAATCATCAAAATACCGAATATAGGGAGGTACCGTTATATTGGGGATAAACGATATCTTGGACCTATATAGACAGTAATCTTTCAGGGGATGAAATACTCAGAAGGAAATCCTTATGTGGATTTTCAGACAACTTTATTGAAAAATTTGGCTACAATCATTAAAATACCAAATATCGGGGGTACCGTTGTAAGGGGGCTATACAATATCGTAGATAAAGTCAAACGCCATAATTTTTACTTTTTTTTTTTTAATTATATTGAATGAAAACAAAAAATGTCGGAAATAGCATCAAATTTTAGAATAAGTTTACATTTGTTCGAATTTGTCACCTTTAACACGAATTATGACCTTCAAACCGCCAATGAAACTGTCACACGCTGCCCGAATGTTGCTCTGCGGTATTTTGGCCCATTTCCGGCGAAGTGCTTGCTTGAGGTGATCGACACCTTGGTATTTTTTAGTGCCAACCTTGTTGTTTAAAATACTCCAGACACAATAGTCCAACGGATTGGTATCCGGATATTTTGGTGGCCATTGTGCGCTGGAAATGAAGCGATGAACCTCATTTTATAAGTCTTGTGTGGCGCGTGCTGAGAGCGATAGTGCTGAGTGATTGGAATGTCCAAGGACTGCGGCCAAAATGTTTGCGTGCCCAAGGCTTT